AATTCGTTGGTAAAAGAGTAGTCCAAGAGTTGGCGATGGGTGGTGATGACTTGCTGCCTTCCCTCTAGTCTTACGCTGCTAAATTAGGGACGGCTAGCGCAGATAGTCTTCGTGTGGCTTTGCTCGAAATTCATAACATATAAACTGACTTAGCGTATGAATATTTTGTGTTAGTTCTTGTTTTTAATATTTAAAACTTTCGTTCTCAGTGTAGCATTGTTGTTGTTTTAACCAGATTTTGGGACAAAGTGGCGAAAAGACTTCAAGCAACTTATAAATTGAGGTGTATTTTTGAAGCGCATCGAAAATAGAAACCGTATAGCTTACCTTAAGAAAAAGAAGGTAAGAATTGATTAAAAGCATAATTTAAAAATGTGTTTCTTTTTCCATGATGAAATTCATGACTAGATAAATTTCAAGTGAGAAATTTGTTTGTTTGAACGCAATCCTATACAATAAACTACCTACATTCTGTACACCACAGGGAATAGAACCCCGGATTTTAGCGTTGTAAGTACATAAAATTATTATTGATCTTTTAGGAGACTCGAATGAGAAAAGAAACAGTACAAAGAAAGCAAATAATGAAAATTGTGAAGATGCAAACGTTTTGGTTGCTTTAGATAGAGTAAGAAATGTGATCAAGTATTCCAGCCCCAGTGTTTAAGTATCCACAATAGGACTGTGAGTTCTTGTTCGATGACGATGCTTGTGATAGTGAAATTGGAATAGTGTTCGAATGGGCCATGCATAACCCAAATGGTTGATGAACTTTAAAAATTTGGAAGGGATGATAGCACACTGGAGAACAGCTGATGGATTGTCTCACTGAATGTCTTAATCCGGGACAGGGTATGGGAGTTGAAACCAGGATATTCTACTAGCGGAAGAGCTGGCTGTTTAATACTTTGTGACCTCCAGGAGGAGTAACGGAAGGACCAAGATCTAGCATAAGTGTTGTTTGTTGTGCAGAAAGATAAACGCAACCAGCTCAAGTTGAGGATCATATCACAGATGCAAGTAGTCTATTGCACTTGTATGAGCTGTTATGAGTGCAAGAAGGTGTACTGTATCAATTATTAAACGGTTGTTATCAACCTGTATTACAGCTATTGGCCCCAGTGCTTTGATGCAAGAGATTTCCCAGGCTTTGCATAACACAAAGATTGGATGTCACCAAGGTGTTTCCCGTACTTGTGTTAACATTAGTTGGTGGATCTATTGACCGCATTAGAGTTGAGATATTCAGCACTGGTGTTAACACTGTATGTTGAGTACTACCCAGAGAAAGGCCAACCTAAAAAGTGTAAATTCCAGCAGATAATTGTTGGTTTTTTCCCATGTAGAAAAATGGCACTGAATAATGGTGGTCCAATTATAATGGTGGAACAAAGTCACCGATATATACTCATGGCCATCAACTTCTTCACAAATTGGGTCAAGGCTTATACATAGGTTAGTATATCAGCACAGTCTGTAGCTTATGCACTGGTAGAACACTGGATAGCTCGGTTTGGAGTACCAGAAGAGATGTATGTGGATTAAGGAGCTAACTTTAACAGCTAGTTCTGTTAATTGTTGGGAACAGTAAAAATGTGCTTTTTGTCTTATCACCAAAGTCTGATGGTTTAGTAGAGTGAGTAATATGGAATTTCCACGTGTATGCTTGTTAAGTTATTAATCCCAACCAAACCAACTAGAATGAACATCATGATAATTATTCGCCAAGTATTCTCATGTTCAGCTCGAAGGTCTTGCTCCCCTACAGTGGATCTACAACAGTGTCCACCAGAACTATGTAGAGTAGTTAATGTGTGTTAGTTGTGGTACACAAGATTGCACATAAAAAACTATGAATGACCATCACGTGACAAAAGATCTGCATGTTGTGAGAAGACAGTAAAATGAATGAATGCACCACAGTGGAGACTGGGTGTGACTTTGGTATGAGTCAGTGGCACAAAAGCTGCTCAACTCTGGCTAGACAGGACCTCATCTTATGATTCCATGAGTCACTCCATTAACATATGAGTTACAGCAGCCGAGAGGCACTTAAAAGCACATAGTACATGTCAACCAGATGCATTCATATGTTACCAATAAAACTCTAGTGAATTGGCTTGATCAGGAACCAGAGAACAAAGAGTCGAAGGAGTAAGAAGCACTTTATTGTCTCACTGTAGCCCAGAAGATGAGGAAGAACAAGTTGAGAGTGCTTATCTGGCAGTGAGGCAGTTATATTTTGCCTGGGTATATATATATATCGATACATAGTAACAGAAGGAATATTAATCCTGACTTATGACAGTTTTAGTTGAAAAGTCTTACCTTAGCTTGATTCTTTCTGATATTAGTTATTTTATGATGCCTCAAAGAAAAACAAGATGGCTGATAGACAGTAGCATATTACTGTACCACATCATCGAAATGTAGCCTGCATGATGTAAATTCGAGAAGGTTACTAAAGTGAATTGCAGAGGAGATGGAAGCTGTCTGTTTTAAGCAATTAGTTTGCATAACAATATGTAATGAAGATATATATTGTATGGCAGTATACATATATATATAAACAAATATGTGTATTTGGCCTTATATGCATGTAAGAACATTACATAAAGTTATACATGAATGTTGTATAACACGAATAGATCAATTACACAAAGAACACAGCTGTTAAGCAAAATATAAATGTAAACAAAGGATTTGGTCTAGATGCTAATAACTTGTGATATGAGGTTCACGCTGATTGATGACTTATAATGTGTTGTTTAAATATACAGTGCACCTGTTATTTTCATTAGTAATAGTGAGAGACTATTTTAATTTCAATATTGAAATATTTGTCAGGTAGTGAATATTCAAGGAATATCAAAAGTAATGACGAGACTCACAATATGCCTGTGCCTGGGAGACTATTCCTGTTAAGAATAGTGCAAACTATTTTGTTTGTATCAGAGTGAAGTTTTATGTGAGTTAGTGAAATTATCAGAATTAAATAAAATCCACAGATAGTAGCTTAGATATCATAATAGATATACACTTGGTGTACCCAGTGTTTTATTTGGTTGTGAATGTAATATTTTAAACCATACAGATTCAAATGTGTAGTGAGCACACAGTTTTCTAAGTATGTTTTATAATATTGTTTCCGTACAAGGTACAGTTAAAGATGTATGAAATGCGGATGGTTAGTATACTAGTGGATGAGTAAAATAGCATCAGTATTGTTAAATTTGAAAATTCCACCTAGTTAGCACTAAGCGTGTATCTGAAAGAAAGTTTGGTGGATTTTAACATTCAGAAGTATAGGTTAGTATCTGCTAACCCTAGTCAAGTCATGTTTGTAAGAACCAGTTTTACAGTCTCAGCCCCATTCCTTTCCTACTGGAACCAGGCACTGTTTATGTAACAGCCATACAGCAGTGAGGGAAATGGATCTAGGTCAAAATGTAAGGTGTGCTGGTTGGTTCACGGGAATGTCAACAGGAGACAACACTCTGTAGGCATTGGTTAAGTATGCACACCATGAAACATGGGGACTGAGAAATTCATAGGCATTAGTGATACATATTATACAGGCAAATAGAATATGAGCACACATGAAATCCATGGAAAATTTATTAAATCATGGTAATACATTAATTACTTTGTCTCCAAAAGTAGTCTCAGAGAAGAGCAATGGTTGTAACCAGACAGTTATGACCCTCTTTCAACCTACACACCTAGCTGATCTTCTGGCCAATCAGAGCTCATCTGATCTTATATTTTCAATATGGACTTTTGCTATTTAATATCGAATTATTGACCCTTCTGGCTATCCTGTATTTGTTAAAATCTCCAAGACTTTCTTGAGTTACCATGCAAATTGATATGGTAAGGGTTACCTATTTGGACTTTCCCATTGACTCAAAACTCCTGGAATCAGTTTAAATTTAAACCTGGAAGAACCCTTCTGCCTGACACATCAAATGGGATATTAGTGAGTCAGTTGTTGGTCTAATATTGAAGCCTCACAAGGCTGGATAGTCACAATCAGGTCAAAATCCGCCCCAGAGCCCAAGCTCTTGCTGGAAAACTACCACCAAAGGGGCTTCAGTGAACCATCCAATGACCACCACTTCTACACTTAGTGGTCCAAACCTGCAAGTGGCTAAGCCACCACTGGCAATTTATCCAAAATTTCGCTTTTACAGCTTCTTCAGGGTTAATACATAGAAACTGTTTGATATCGAAGTATACGTTATAAGTTTATATCATTGTAGTCAAAGTTTAGATAAACGACCTTTACACTCCAGATGTAAATATTTATTTATTATTACCAACGTTTCGCTTTTACAGCTTCTTCAGGGTTAATACATAGAAACTGTTTGATATTGAAGTATACGTTATAAGTTTATAACATTGTGATAAAAGTTTAGATAAACGACCTTTACACTCCAGATGTAAACATATTTGTTTTGTTTTTTATTACTACCAACGTTTCGCTTTTACATCTTCCTCAGGGTTAATACATACAAACTGTTTGATATCGAAGTATATGTTATAAGTTTATAACATTGTGGTAAAAGTTTAGATAAACGACCTTTACACTCCAGATGTAAACATATTTGTTTTGTTTTTTATTACTACCAACGTTTCGCTTTT